GGGTGGCTTCCCGGCGGGAAAAGTAGGTTTTAAACGAATTGGAGAAGAAATGGGTGTTTCTAAAGCCTGGCGGGATGCGGCTTCTTCGCGAGATGCGCTGTGATTCTGCCCCTCTACTCCACTCTGGGGAGACCCCCACTGGAGAACTGCCTCCAGCTCTGGGGCCCCCAACAGAAGAAGGACATGAAACTGATGGAGTGAGTCCAGAGGAGGTCACGAAGATGATCCGAGGGCTGGAGCACCTCTGCTGGGAGGACAGGCTGAGAGAGTTGGGGTTGTTCAGCCTGGAGAAGAGAAGGCTCCGGGGAGACTTTATTGTGGCCTTTCAGTACTTAAAGGGGGCTTATAAGAAAGATGGGGACAAACTTTTTCGCAGGGCCTGTTGTGATAGGATAAGGGGTAATGGCTTTAAACTAAACGAGGGAAGATTTAGACTAGGTATAAGGAAGACATTTTTTACGCTGAGGGTGATGAAACACTGGCACAAGTTGCCCAGAGAAGTGGTAGATGCCCCATCCCTGGAAACATTCCGGGTCAGGTCGGACAGGGCTCTGAGCAACCGGATCTAGTTGAAGATGTCCCTGCTCACTGCAGCAGGGTCAGACTGGATGACCTTTAAAGGTCCCTTCCAACCCAAACTATTCTATGAACACAAAGCTCTTTTGTTTGTCTAATGTTTCCCCTTTTGGAATAATCAGAAACAAGAGCGTTTTTCAAGTGCACAGTAATCAGTCAAAAGGGCCTGAAACTGCCAAGAAGCCACAGTGAAATCTTGTTTTCATTAATGGACATAAGACTCGGATGGCTCCATGCCCTACCCCTTACCATCAGTGCTAACAGTGCCAGCTCCAGCATCAACCCCTTGCACTGTCTGAGCAGAGGTGTGTGGCGATAAACACAGCCACCGGCCCAGACAGAAGGATCCCGAGCAAAACAAGGCCAAACAGTTATTTTTGTTAAAACTCACCGAGTCAGATGCTGTAGCACCTGTAGCTGTTTGACCAAATTCACCTGAATTCAGCAGTTCTGTGGAGCTGCCAGTGGATGGGGCCTGGCCCTGCCCGGGGCTGTGTGGATCACTTGTTTTAAACAGCAGACAAACAGAAAAAGGCAAACATTCAGAGGCATGTGCAGCAGAGTTGTCAGAGCTGGCCTCTGCCATCAGCACTGTGGGCTGCAGTGTGCTGTCCTATGTTTTCTGCTTCGAGACCCCAGTTTGTTGTGGCTGTTCTAACGCGGTGGCTACAGGAGCCAGTTTTATAGTCAGATTTTTAAATGGTTTCTAAAGGATCTTATATTTAATTAATGTTAATCTGTGTGATCTGTTTGCTTGTGGTCCTGCCTTTAGTTACATAGATCCCACTCCAAATTGTGCAGTGTGTACCCAAGGAGATGGGTTTGGCTGTCATTTACACGGGGCTCCTTTGTAATGCTGCAGCAGGTAGAGACAGTGGCCCTTTTCTGTTACCAGGGTTTTCAGTGGATGATGCCTCACCCAGCCCACTCTAGAGATGATATGCTTTACACTGGGGAACTGCCCATTTTTCTTCTGTGTCAGTTGATAAGCAGAGTCTGGGGCATTCTGTTAAGTGTTTTTACGTGTGCAGTGTGTGTTTGTTTACCTGCAAGTGTATAACGTTGCACATGCTCTAGGGCTTTTTTTCTTTGAATAAAATACTTTGTGAGAGAACTACCAACTGTACTGAGTCCAAACCAGGGCAGCCTGGGGCTAAGCACTAACGATAATTTCTTTTCTCAAGTATCAGATTATAAACTTGGTTGATTTTCCACAATTAACTGATTAATTTTAGATGACTCGAGGGGTGTAGATCTCTTCTCCCAAGTAACCAGCGATACTTCAAGAGGAAGTAGCCTCAAGGTGTGCCAGCGGAGGTTTAGATTCATTATTAGGAAAAATTTCTTGACCAAAAGGGTTATCAAACATTGGAACAGGCTGCCCAGGGAAGTGGTTGACTCACCATCCCTGGAGGTATTTAAAAGACATGTAGATGCGGCACTTAGGGACATGGTTTAGTGGTGGACTTGGCAGTGCTAGATTAATGTGAGAGCGTATTTAAGAGACAATGGATGTATATTGAACCAGCCATGCGAGGAAGCAGACTGGCAGTAGGCCCTCGCCCTTGAAGTCACCTTGGGGAGAGAAAAACAGGGTTGACAGTGACTGTTTCACACAAGTTGAGAAAAACAAGCCTGGAGGAGACGGAGGAACAGGTGGGAAAACAGAGATTAGACGAACCAATCAGGAAAGAAGCTGAGTTGCATGTTCGCCTCGTGCACAGAACTATTAACCAATCAACTAATGCGTGAACACGTGTTGGGATAGACAGATTGTATATAAGGGACAGTAGAATGTCAATAAAGTGGCTTCTGTATGATTCACATTGGATCTTGTGAAGTGCAGTTTCTCTCCTCAGATTAACAGTTGAACTTGATGTTAAGGGTCTTTTCCAACCTAAATGATTGTATGATTCTATTTTCTCTACTAAACCAAGTCTTTTTGCTGAAGTGCAGCCGTAGATTGTATTTAGAGACACAAAACAAATATTCCAAGGCAGCCT